GCACTGTGGGAACAGCTCTTTTATTCCCACGCGGGTACAGAGGAGCATGGAGTGATGGTCCTCAAGAGTCAGCCCATCCCCTTCCCTAGTCTCCCCTTCAGCATCCTGACAGCTCTACAGCCTCCACTGCCAAGTTTTTCCTACCCTCTCACTGGAAAGACTCGCCTTACATGCCAGCATGTTGCAGACAGAGCTGTTAAGGATAGAAAGCCAGACCCAGACACGTTGTATGTGTTGTTTTTTCTTTTAAGCTGTCTGCAAATTCCAGGGATAAATTCTTGAAATGAAACATGATTGGTTCTTGCCAAGGGGCAAAGCAGAAGCAGCTAATGGTATCAAAAATGTCCCAGGTCAGCAGAGCTGATGTCAGTTTGATGGGAAATGTGTTAATACATTTATTTATGACCTTGCTAGACCATACGTAGAGACCAAGTAATTTAGCCATGCTTTTTAATAAGGCAGGCAAAGATCCAGCTTAGCCCTGGACATTGCACTCCAGTGCCTCCATCAAGTGGAAAAGGGAAGCTGCAGGAAGAAGGTGTCCCAGCTGCTAGCACTGCGGGCTCCCCAGCTCTCGGGTGTCTCAGTGGCAGGCAGGTCTGTGGGAAAGCAGTTTCCAGAACCCGTGGGAGACCCCAGATTTGGGAAGAGCACGCATGGTCTCTTGTTTGGCCAAAGCCCTCCAGCCCCTCTTTGCCCCCAATGCTCTCCTCCTGGACTTCTCCTCCCCAGTTCCTACAAACCCCAGTGCCTTTGCAAGGCAGCTCTACATTGCTGTCCTACACCTACTGCCAGCTTTCCTCTGGGAAAAAAACACCTGATTTACCTCTTTCCACCCACTGGGGGTGGACTTTGTGTCAGAGATGGAGCAAGACCTAGAGCGGTTTTAAGCAAACAGACTTCATAAGGCATCTCCTGCAAAGCAGAGTCAGGCTTGGGACACTGCACATGTTTCAAGCCTAAAAATGAGGAACCCTCTAGGGGTGTCTCTGGCACTACTTGCAGCAGGGAGGGGGCTGTGAATGTCCTACCTGAGCTCCAGGCCCCAAAATCAGGTGCCTGGAACTGTACTGGACAAGAGGCAAAACCATACAGCTATACCTGTTTTCTCCCTGCTGACCTGCCTTGGGTTGGTCATCACCCACTGTACACAGACTCCCAGAGGTCTTGGTGAGAAGGGACCTCTGCAAGTTTTCAGTCCAGCCTCCTGTGTGACGCAGGAAAGGCACAAGGCATCAAAGTGGGTCAGCAGGGAGGCTATCTAAACCACAAAATTCTGTGGTTGACTAAAGCAGGATGTCACCGGGGCTGTTCCTGCCTGTTCATGTGGGCTCACCTGCAGGCAGGGAAGCTTTGAGGCGCTGGTCAAGGACTCAAAGCAAGGCGCAGCGGGAACTTGGACAGCCAAGTGTGTAGATATTGAAAGAGACAGCAGCCCAGGCAGAAGATAATAATCTCCCTGGCCCACTTGGACAGTCAGTTCACCTGGAGATCAGCTGCCTGCTCTGCAGCCATGGGGGAGGTTGCTGTGGATGTTCTTGGGTCCAGATTTCACCAACTGTGAAACTCAGATGTGAGTCTCTATCAAAGCAAAAGGCAGAAATGAGCTTTTGTGGGTTTATACCGGTTTGCCTACATTCAACTCTCCTGCAAACACAGGGCTGGGAATAAGTGATGTGTGAAGGGTGAGATGCTGGCTCTTGTGCTCTCTGAGAAAAGTGCCTAAACCTAATCAGGGCAGCATAGGGGCAAACCTTCACCCAGCAAAAATTGTTAGAGCTGCCTTGTCTTTGATGATACTCATGATCTCCAAAGGATAGCTGGGAGGGTCAAAAGTCTGTCACTGGCTTTTGGCAGGGCACTGATTTTTGACCATCTCTGCAAGAGATGGCAGAAAGGAAACCCTTTTGTCTAGTTCAGAAGCCATGGAGATGTTCAAGCAGAAAAAGAAAAACTAAAACTCATATCTAGTATCAAATCAGGTCCAGAGTGTAATTAAGCATTTGCTGTGACCAAGACTAAGTGATCAGCAGAGCAATGGCACCCCCTTCCATCCCAGCTCCCTGCCAATAAGCAAGGAGAGCTGGGGGCAGGATGAGCCATAGGTGCCCTCCCTAAAGGAGCATCTAGGGTCGGAGGCGGTGGCAGCATGGGAAGCCTCCCGTGACAGCTCTGGCTTCAGCCTGGGGTAGCCTAGGAGCAGCAGGAGATGGAGGCTGAACAAGAGATGAGGCTGCATCATAGGTCCAAGGTCCATCTGGGAGACAGGACTGGGGAAAAGGCTACCTGCAGTGTAGGTCCAAGGTCCACCTATGCATAGGGAGATTA